GACCAAATTCCCTTGCAGGTGTGCTTATGTGCATTTTGGCCTGTGTACAACAGAACATACCATTTCGGGGCGCGCTCCCCCTTGCTGCACCACGGGGTCGGCGGATATTCAGGTCTTGAGTTCACTGAGTTCACGTGCAGCTTCACCATGTTTTGTCGTACAGGACCCCCTCTCTTGCATGTCACAAGGACCATGCGAAATGGCAATCCCCACGAAGTGCCGAAGTGCCTTGCTCATCTCGACTCCCAACAACGTACGGGTGTGTGGCCCTCGGCAATGGCCCTCTCACCCTGGAAAAGTCTGGAAAAGGGTGGAAGTACTACTAGGACTGGATGGGGCAAGCACTACTTCAGGTTCTTTGCCACTACTTCCACATGAACTGGGCAACCGCTGGAGCAGTGCTTGCCATGCTGCTGGCCATGTTGCAGCTCCTTTGCCGAGCACAGAGCTTCGAGGTCGCTCAGAATGGTGAAGCACTACTCTGGCGGGTTGCAGCTAGGAAGAGCATAGCACAGGCTGTTCGATCTGGTTTTAATCGAACTAGTTACATAGATGAACATGCCGCGGCAGAGATAACTCCTCCTTGTTTTGGAGGACATACAGGTACATACAGCCTTTACTATCACAGCAGCAGACTTAATCCACTTTTGGAGCCCTTCCATTGCTTTGAGGCATATCCCCCTTTCAGAGCTGAGGCATTTTTGCCCATGGCTGTTTTTATGTTTGTCTATTTCTCCTGGAGCTTGCCACTTGGAGTTGTTTTTCGCTGTATGAGATGTTCCCCAAGGACATGACCTAGGGGCATTGAATCATGCGGTGATGGGTCAACACCTAAACCTCCAAAAACATGGGACCCATAGGTTTTGGTGCTGCTTCATGGACCAACCTGCCAGCCATGGAGACAGGCCTGTCTCCATCCAAACAACTGAGACGGACAGGAGATTAGCTTTCCATCCAGTGAAACATAGTATGTGGTTTTGTTCTTGGTCATGTATAAGAATACCGTATCAGCATGGTTCTACATGTGTTATATTGCTTTATGGTGTGTCACAGTCAAGATGGGTTTGGTTGAATCAGAATTCATGACTGCGGTTTTGCCGCCAGAATCTCACCAGCCATTCTAGACGAAACAGACGATGACAAGAGTAGAAGATACCCTGCCAGGGGGGCAACCCTGCCGGTGCAGCTGCTGTATATAACTTATATCCACTACCGGTCACTTGGACCTCATGTTACTGGAGTTCATGATACAAAAACACTTCGAACATGAAGTGACGAAGTGATCAAGGATCAGGTTTGACTGCAGTCCCCAAGGAACCCCTGGCTCCAGGATCCGAGGTATCACATGGTATCACATGCCATGGTGTATCACTATGCCTACTAACTTCGCGATGTCGCTCCATTTTCACCTCTGCCGGGAAGAAGACTTCCCGGCCTCCAAAACCATCCCACCCACTGCAGGTCGGACGAATCGCGCGCGACTGAGCAAACGGCGCGTCGATTCCTCCTACGATCTGAGGTTTCGCAGCAAGGCATTGTGGTTTGATGGCATTTGCGTGGACCAAGGCAACCTGCCACTGAGAGCCAAGACCATGGAAGCAGTTCCGGTTTTCGCATCAGAAGCAGCCAGCATGTTAGTTGTTTGGCATGAGAGCCTCTTCAGCAAATTGTGGTGTGTATATGAAATCGCTGTCAGGGCAAAGAACCGCAGCTTTGATTCGATCCATGTCGTGCCTGTGTGGCTTCCTTGCTTTTCAGTGATGAGCACTGTGAGCACCGTGTTGTCACTTTGGATTTTGTCTGGTTTCGTGATTCCGGCCTGCGAGAGCGACCCAACCTCACGCTTTGTGTCCCTTTTTGGACTCTACTTTGGCTCCCCTGTCGCGTACATCGTTTTTGCCATTCCCATCACTCACTTTTGCTCGCTGAAGATTGAATCTCACAAGACCATGCTGGACCAGATGGAATCCTTTGATCTTAGAAATGCTACTTGTTCTCTGGAGACAGACCGTCTGATGATCAGGAGACAAGTCCTAGGCCTCTTTGACGAGGCCTTGCAACTTCCCTTGTCCGTTTCACTTGAAGCAGAGCCACCAGGGTCAGACGCAGATAGTACCCATCCAGAAGTGGCTGCCCTGCTATCTCCAGAGGATCTTCATAGCTTTCGTCATGTGACCAGCTATCCAAGCGATGAAGAAGTCATTGATGAGTTCAACTCCTACGTCCGAGGGCCGCTACGTGAAAGCGTGGTGCGTTCGTTGGGCCGGGAAGACCAAATTCCCTTGCAGGTGTGCTTATGTGCATTTTGGCCTGTGTATGCTGGAGGCTTGGCACTCACAGCCGGCTGCAACGGCCATCGCGATTGCCAATATGCTGCCGAGAATCTGAAGTTTCAGTCGGTGACGTGGTATTTGGTCACATCTGCGATCTTCAGATGCATTTGGGCTTAGGACTTTAGGGTTTGGAATTGGAATATTCCAGAACCGATGCTATTCTGAGGTGTTTTTGTATGTGTTTTCTTTCTTGAAAGGTGCATCCAGTTGCTTTCACCTTGTCGACACAGCCTTCGAAACCACTCATGGGGCCCCTACGAGTGCTTCGACGGTGGATGCTCGTATACCCAGAGATGGTCCATAAACGGCTAGCACGTCCCATTTGGGGTGTATATTTGCGGCGAGGTGTTTTGAGCTGGTGGGGTATGCAGTTTTCAGGTGGAGAGCGGTCTGAATATCCGCTGGGGAAGCTCTTTAAAGACTTTTTGGACCCAAGGATCAACACCAGTGTCTTCTGGCTGATGACCAACCTCCTTACCTTCCCCCTGGCTCTGCGAGTCAACTGCCTAGCATCCTGGCCTGGCAAAGTGCGGGGTGGTGCAGAGGTGCGGGTGAAGCCAGGTTCACCTTCCGTTACTGGAATTCCTGTTCCAAAGTTTACAGCGGATCCACCATCTAGACCTGAAGCAACAGGGATCGAGCCGGCTCGACTTGTTGGCTTCCGGCTCGATCTGAGACGGTCGAGACCTGTGTTCCGCCACTTCTTCAGTCTGCGTGACCCACCGGGAGCCCCGGTCCACCAGTCCACAGGTCAACCGGTCAGTCTCCTGGGTTTGACCCTCTGGTTCATGCTACGTGAAAGAAAAGATACCATAAGAGACTTATGCCTGGAATAGGTGATTGAATGCTGGAAAACATCCTCATGTGTTTTTTTTTCTGCAAGCAGGGTATGTGGGTACCATGCGAGGAGTTGCTGCCCATTGGGAGCAAGCTCCCCATATCCAAATTCACTGGCATCAATGTTTCTTGAGGGTTCTGCATTGGGCAACAAGCGACAAACACCCGCACCGAACATTGCTGGACCAAAGCCTCGCAAAACCCCTGCAAAACTGCACACATTCCATGCCCATGCCATGGCTCCGGCGTGCCATCCACCCTTTGGTCAACCACATGGCTGGTCAGAATCGGGGAGACTTCCGGTGGTCTCACCTAGTGTTGGAACTCGCTGCATGGTGGATGGGTCGGGCTCCAGGTGGAACGACCATCTTCACAGATCTCCCCGATGTTTCCTAGCTAGTAGCTTGGAGGCCATCGCCCATTCGGTTGGAGGCCATTGCAAAGCCCTGCCCCGAATTCAGCCGTGCCACATCGAATTCAGCCGTTGCCCAATGTCGATCCATTCGACCGAGGTCGCCAATGTGGTCACCGACCGATGGTGGCAGTTCCTCGGAGAGCCACCAGATGTGTACCAGAGGGGTGTTGATTCCGAGCCCGAGGTGACAGGGGTGTCGGTTCAGATCCTTTCGACTCCATGCGACTTTGTGACGTTCGTAGCTTCTTGTTACTAGTAAGGCCAGGAGCTACTATATAGTAGCGTCCTTTCTCCTCGTAGTAACTGTAAGGCAACTCAATGAAATACCTTGATGCCGGCAGCGTATAGTTAACATATCAAGGATTTGGCCGGCAAAGTAGGGTGGCAGAGGGGGGCGGCAAAGAGGGGCGGCAACGTTTGGCCGGCAAAGTGGGGTGGCAGAGGGGGGCGGCAAAGAGGGGCGGCAACGTTTGTTGATAACGTAAAAGTGGCGGCATGGAGAGGTGGCAAGATTTGAAAGCGCTGCGTAAGTAGCAGCAATCAGGGGCGGCAAGATTTGAAAGCAATGCAGGGAGCAGCGGCAAAGAGAGGCAGCAAGGTTTGTTGATAACGTAAAGGTGCTGGCACAAAAGGCTGGCAAAACTGGTAAACGATGCAATAGTAGCGGGTGGTAAATGTGGTGGCATGGTTGAAGATGGATGAAAAAATACGAAATGATATTTAATAATGTAATATCTCAAGACCAATGAATATCATAACATATAACCTATCTTCATTCAACTTATGTAAAATTTGGCGAAACGAATGGTTTCCCACACAGCACAGGCACAGGCCACCAGGCCCCAAATCTTTTTCTCTCAACACGGCATAGGCGAGGAGCTCCCCACTCCTGCACATTCTAGTTCACATTGAATGGCTCACTCGGATTCACTTGAATCACCATCGGAGCCCCAATCAAATTGAAAAACAAGAGCTTCTTCTTGCTCTTGCCCGAGCACTAAAGTCGTTTGGCTTGACATCTGGCTGTCAAGCGGGCAAGGTTGGCGAACGCACTGCAAATGGCCACGTGTTTCCCCCATGTTTGAGCACATCAGGACCTGAGCAGAAGTTCAAGTCCTGGTCCATGGTCCATAGTCCAGGTTTAAGTCCATGTCACTGTCCAAGTCATAATATACTCGTCTCAGTCCCTATTATGTTTTATTTCATTTCTCTCTCCCTCTCTCTCTTTCTATGTCGTTGGACACTAGTGCAACGACGTCACTGCGTGCAACACCGTTCCAATCACTGGAATGCTCATAGCGTTCCCAGCCATGAGCGAGTATAAGCTGGAGCGAGAAAAATCCTCCATGTTGAGACGCTCCAAATCGAACCCGTGCCTCCGCATCGCAAAGCTCTCCACAAAATCTAGCTCAACTTTAGGTGTTGAAAAATATGAGATTCGACACACAGCAGAGTATTGGCACCGGTTTGGTTTGGTTGTAGTTGGTATCAGGTTGCAAAGACAGAAGCTCTTCACCACTCAAAAGCCGCCCCATTTGCATCGAATAGACGCGAGTATTGGTAGTGAGCCTCGATCATTTCAAGCGTCGAACCCGAACCCGGCAAAAGAATTCAGAACAGAATTGCAGTAAGGAGTAAGGAGACTGTGCCTGTACCTGTAGCCTAAACTGTTGCCAAAGCACGATGGTGAAAAATGATCGGTGCGAAAAGCTTGCCGCTCGAAAGATTTGGATACATCGAGGTAAACACCAGAGACATCCTTGCCGGCTTGCTTCACTGAATGGTACACCATGTTGATAGTCCATTCTTCCAAAGGCCGAATCAAGCGTGACCAATCATGAGCCCCCACGATTTCCTTAGCCCACTCCACATGCCTCAGCTCAAGACTAGAGTAGAGGCAGAAGCGACTCTGTGCCGAAAATTAAAACCAGGAAAACCGGAAAACCACTTTGGATACGATTGTTTTTGAATACTGACCCAAGTGCTCAACAAACTTGCTGTGCGGCATCAAGCCAAAGAAGGATTCTTTCTTCTTATCACGCCGCTCTTGCTGAGACTGACTGGCAGGAGCACCGATTGGCCCATGTGGGAACTCCTAGAAAATAGGTCAGAGTCAGAGTCACAGGCGGCATAGGCACGGCATAGGTCATTCCAATGCAACTTCCAAAAATGCAAAACTGAATCGGGAGAAAACAGCTCGGTAACTTCGGCAACTCAACTGCTTTTTCTGCACATGCCCTTCCGTTGGCGAGAGCATTGCAGTGTCTCTGAGCAAAGGTTGCTCATCTAATCCGCCAGCTTATCATATTCCTGGCTCTGTGCGGGGCCATCATTTTTCCATGGCCGATGATAATGGTGTGCAAAGGCTATTTGCACGCGCCCAAGTTTTTGGCTTATTCTAAGCCGACCCAGGCGAGAGCACCATTGGAACCTGGTGCTCACAATTCGACTTGAAAAATGCAATGGCTAGCTCCGAGTCCAACAAGTTCCGGGTTCGGGGTGACTTGAACAAATTGCATGTGGTGGGTCAGTTTGGACTAGCCATAAGGTTCCGGCCAAAATGGCCAAAAGCCAATTCAACAAGGGCCATTCATTCTGCCTTTTCTAAATCATCTACTCCTCGCCGGATTTTCCGGTCACCCTCCTCCTTTTGGCAGGAGGAGCCTTGGGCGGAGGCATGGATGCTGATGCTTGCGATTCTGCATCGCTTTGACCATCTGCTGCCTTTGAATCCTTTGAAGCGCTCGATTTGGCCTTCGCCTCGTGGTGGGATAAAGACGCAACACCCAATCAATTGTTCAAACATTTGCTGCATTGTTGCGCAAAAAAACTACGACGATTCCGATCCCGCCAAACAAGTGTGTTTTTTGAACACTTGAAGGTCCTGCAAATCCTTTGCATCCTTCACAACCTTGTCCATCCGATCCATCAACATGTTGCTGATCTCCTTCTTGGTGATCTTGAGAGTGTTCGTAATGAACTTGTGGAAAGACAGGGCTTCTGCCACGATCTTCTTCGGGTCGAAGTTCACGAGCAAGTCTGCGGCATACATGTTGGCAAGGTTGACAGCGACCAGCTTGCCTGTTGGTTCCCCCTTGTAGTTGGCCATCAATTCTGTGAGCACACCCCCGGCAGGTCCATCGGCCAATTCCTTGCAGGTCAACCAACTCCACGCAACCCGAACGTTGGCCTCCATGTCCAGCAAGTCAGAGACGTCTAGGCGGCAAGAAATTGTCAGAGTCAGAGTCTCACGATAATTAGGAGGAGAACGTGACATGTCACATTCATACAGTCGTACAGTCGTACAGCACATCATCAAAATGCGCAACATTGAAACCAACACCACCCCCACACCAAACGCGTCACTACAACCGAACCGACCACACTTCTGACAAAAGCACCCGCCTCCGGAAAGCTGCTGCATGAGCTTCTCATCCTGTGCTTGCGTCTCACTTGTTGGAAGGAACTTGGCAAATTTATCCTTCTCAAACTCGTCCCCAAGCTCTGCGCTCAATGCAACTTGCCGATGGTACATGGTATTGGCTTGGATGTTGGCCTTGAACTTTTGAAGCTCTGATGTCAAGAGCGTGATGGACTTCACAACCCGCTCCTGAGCTTCTTTCATCGTGGCCTGGCAATCTGACAGGCCAAAGTTGCTCCAATCATCCTCCGGGATTGAGAGCATCGGGACATACCGAGACAAGAATTCGGCAAGATGGTTCCCATCAGTGATGGCATCACCCACTCCACCCAATGTCTGAAACTCCTGCATGGACTGGACAGCGCGCAACAATTGGTCGGCTTCAATCTCCATCAGGGAACGCACAGACGAAGAGAGACTGGTCAGGTCTTGCGAAGGGTTCCCCTTCACGAGCTCTCGAAGCCAAAGAGACTGCTTGCCTTTGGTCTGTTCAGCCAGCGCGACAAATTTCTCCGATACCGCAATCAAAGAAGCCTTGACCGCATTGATGCTGTTGGGCTCGCTCAACTCCTGGGAGCCACTCGACTGCTTCGCCTGCTCCTGATCCTCCTGACTGGTCTGAAGAACACGAATCTCATTCTTGATGTCGGTCATCCGTTTGCTAGCCCGAAACTTGTACACCGCCTTCACCGCTGAAATGAAGGAATCGGAATTGCACTTTGTTTGCTCAATGTACTCGGATGATGAACTAGCTGCGCAATATTCTGCGTAGTGATCAGCGAGAAGTTGCAGGATTGCGCAGTTGATTGGGATCACCTCATTGAAAAAAAAGGGCCACCAAACAATCAAATCCGAATTCGTTTCACTTTCCTAAACCCCTAAACCCCCGCATCACACTTTCTCTTCAGCTTTCTATTTCGGCAAGTGGCATCTGAAGCCTGGCACCATGCTGCCAGATTCTTCAATTCCCACACGTCGCAGGACCGTACCTTCAAATGCTCTGAGAATTTCCAAAAAAGGTCGATAGACACCGATTTCTGGAAATGGTCCACAAATGTCTTGATTCCGTTCTCCTTCAGCAAAGAATCCTCAGATAGACCATGAAGCAGCTCGAATAAAATTACTTAGTCAGTCAGAGTCAGAGTCGAGTCATAGGCTTGAAATTACTTGAGCAGGACAGGACAGCTTAAATTCAAACGCCAACAAACTACCAAAAAATCTCAAGTCAGGTCAAGTCACCAACTGATTCACACATCGCCGGAGGGTATCCAATTTGTCCTTCTGTAGCTCGGAAGCTTGCGGCATGGCATTGATGGCTTTCCACGCAGAAAGGACATGCTGGATACGGGGAAAATTCTCCTGCAACGTATTCCGTATTCCATACCCGATAGCCTATAGCCTATTCCATATTTCGAGACAAAAACAAACAAGAACAAAGACAAAGCTAAATTCAACAAGTTCTCTTCTCAACTTCTCAACTCAACCCAGTCCTGCCGCAGTAAAGTGACAAAGTTCTTGCTTGGATCAAGGACTGCCGATTCAACCTCGCTGTCGGGAAGGTTCTTCAATGCCTCAGCCGCGTCTTGGACGACAGAGCTCGGTGTGATAGCCCTTTTGCTCGCGGCTTCCATGCTCTGCCAAAGCTGCCTCAGAGCAAAGTTCAAAGGAATGCAAACAACAACGGTAATATGTTGGGAAAGTCAGGGTCAGGAGATAAAAACAGCTGAGTCAGGAGGTTTTGCAAAAACCGAACAACTTCCTCAGCAAAATATTCTCCTCCAAGCAGCTTCATGGCTCCATTGGTTGCGCGCAACAGCGACAACGTGCGTACTGACAGCTGTTTTTGCAGGTCAATTGCCATTTTGGCCATCAGCAATTCCAGGACGGAGGCCTGACAGCGAAAATAATACATCAAAATTCAAAATAAAGAGACTGGGCATCACTTGCCAGTTGCAACCTGCCCCTGGGCCCTGACTTTCCCAACCCCGGCCTGCTCCCAGTCAGTCGCAAGCGCCCTCAACACCTGCATCTCGAAGAGCACTGCTGTGGAAAACTCCACTCCGGTCGCCAAATCTGATGCCGGAGGTGACCAGGTAGAATTCAACTCGC